TTTATGGATAAGAGCTAGAGAAGGAAGCTCTATCCCCCCATTTCCCAGTTTCATGAGCCAACACAGTCCCATTTTGCTCAGGTTAGTTTACATTAGGTTACTGTTACTTGCAACCCAAAGAACTCATACTCCTGTAGGCACATTCATACTTTTGTCATTTCATCTGTATAGCCTTTTAAGACTGTTATTATTCTATGTTAGAAGTGAGGAAACAGTTCAATAACTTGCCCAAGTCCAATATGGTAAGTACAGGGCATTCAAATTCATACAGTAAAAAGCATTCAAACTCAGGTCCTTCTGTTCTAAACCCATTCAGTATCCATATTCACTCAAGAGGAAACTCACTGCCATTCAAAAGCCAAAGAATTTCTGGTTTAAAATTATAGTGGAAATTTAAGGTAGGAGGATGTAGTATGAGAAATAAACAGCCCTAACTAGGGTCAAAGGACCTGGCTTCTCCCTCTGGCTCTGTCCTGTGACTCAGCTATTAAGACTCTGAGCAAGTCATTTCACCTACCTGAATGTTTTCCTATCTACAAAATGAGAAGCCTGAACAACATGAGCTTGAGATCCTTTTAAGTACTTAACAAAAAAAGTCCATGGTTCTGCTTTAAGCATGCAGATCTGTTTTTACTCTATGGCAGGCAGGATGTCAAGCAGATTTCAACTTGACAGGCCCAATAAATGGCTGCCTAGACCACAAATGCTGCAAAGGACTCTGAGGAAATTAGATCTAGGAAAATTAGCACTGACTTCCATTGTCATGGGAAGAAAAGAGAGGAACAGCTGCATGCCTGCCACATATCTATCATTGCTGATTAAGAGCTTCACCTTCGCAGAGGAATGCTGTGCTCTGTACTGCACGGGATTTTCACCAGTTCCTTTGTGCACTTCCTTGGTTCCCCTTTGCAAGAAAGGATGGAAAATACAGGAAAGCTAAATGGTTTGGGGAATACGGCTGAGAGCCACTGATGAAAATGTCTGAATGGCCTACATGGGGTGAAGGGAACAATAACAATCAGTGTGGTTCTCTAACATACATAGTCTCCGAAGATGCTGATAATTAGCCTACGAGTTCAGTAGGATATGATCACGCCCATGTGACAGAAGTGGAAAATGAGACTCAGGTAAGAGGACCTGCCCAAGTTACCCACTTCTAGGTAGCAGAGCCCAGATCTGAATCCATGTCTTTTTTTTTTTTTTTTTTTTAAGATTTCATGTATTCATTCATGAGAGACACACAGAGAGGCAGAGACAGAGGCAGAGGGAGAAGCAGGCTCCGTGCAGGGAGTCCGACCTGGGACTGGATACTGGGTCTCCAGTATCAGGCCCTGGGCTGAAAGCGGTGCTAAACCACTGAGCCACCCGGGCTGCCCTGAGTCCATGTCTTTTATATTCGAGTCCCCAGGCTCTGCCTACTCCCAAGGTCCCCATTCACCTCACAGTCTAAATGAGTTAACTAATCAAGTTCCCATTGCAAAAAGGCATATTTTTCAGATACAGTAAGCTCCTCATCCCAAGAGAGGAACCATTGTTACTGTTTGTAATGTAACGGGTACACCTGCACTGAATACACATGAATTCAGCAAAATTGAGCATAAAAGTTAAAATATTTAAAGAAATGACACCAAAGAAACCAACCTATGAGGGAAAATTAAAAATCTAGTTTCAACACAGTTTTATTAATCTTAATAAAACCTCTACAACAATTCAGTGAGATGAAACACTGACATCAGGAATATGCTTTGTCCAAACTAAGGAATGAGAAGAACTAGAATTGAATTAGGTAATGTGTGTCCTAGAAATGACAGAGCCTCAGGGAATATATCCAAGCAAAGGCCTATAACCTGCTACATTTCCTTAGGTCTAATGACCAGAACTAACCCCGAACCAGACTCTGTGCTCCTAGTACTGGCCAGACTTTTATGAAAAGAAATCCAGGCCAATAACAGATTCAGCCAGCATTCTGACACATGTGATCATGGCAAGAGTACAGGCCACCCCTCGCCAGCTCTATACTAAATTTTCGGGGGAGAGGGGTATGTGGAGAGAATGGTTGCAAGAACAGGAAGTAATACACAAAGTAATTACAACATTAAATCAAAATTTCTCAAAAGGCGGCATGTTTTCCCTATGTCAGGAGGGGCAGTGGTCCTAAACAATGCAGCCTATGTCCCTACTCAACAGACTCTCCAAGCCTTAGCATGTACCCACATCATCAAATATCAGAATTGGAATCTTCAATGGCCTGCCATCTAACCCTCTGGCTAAAGCGCAAAGTTCTCAAACATCTCTGCCAAGCAGTCATCCCTGTTTAATTACCTCCAATGATAGGAAACTCAGCACCCCAAGGTTCAGTTAGTGCCCCTGAAGCTCACTGATTCAAAAGCCTAAAGCACATTCTTAACACTCAGGGAAAAGCCTAAGGCTTAAACTTCCACACAGCTTGCCATCCCAGTTACGCTTCTTGTCTCTACCACTTGCATATCCCCCACTCCAGAACAGGACCCAAAATGAGCACAGTGCTAATAAATCAGTGATTTCAGAGTTAGAAAGGGACCTCCCAAAACCAAAACTGTAACCTTCACATCCCACAATTCCACAGGAGGAACCTCAGGAAAAGCCTGGGCCAAACTAGCGGCAGGTGGAGGGGGAATGTCCTAGTTTCCTTTCCTCTCATTTCATCCTGAGAAGCTCCTCCTTTGATCTGCTATAAATAGGGTCTCAATGCAGTTTAAGAGTCTTCTGCTGTTTGAAGGGGAAAAAAAGAGAACACTTAAATAAAGTAAGGCCATAAAACTTGCCTAATAACATCATACAGCTAATAGTTGCAGGGTGAAGACAACAACCTGGTCTCTTGACCACATAACATCCATCTGCTTGCAGACAGCAAAGCTCTCCCACATTCCAGCCACACTCCCATGCTTATCGAAACACTTCAGTAACACTGCAAAGTGGCATATTTATCATTACTTGAAATGGTTCAGAAAACATAAGTTCCTCCAAAAAAAATCTTAAACACCATTACTAATTTGTTTGCAATTTAACTGGCAGACATGCACGGAGTATACATAAATTGAGCATAAAAGTGATCCATTTCATGCACACCCTTCTCTAAGGCCAAGATGCCTTGCTCCACCCTCTCTGCACTGGAATCAACTACTTCTCTTTTTTTAAAAAAAAAAAAAAGATTTTATTTATTTATTCATGAGAGACACAGAGAGAGAGAGAGAGAGAGAGGGGGGGGGGGGCAGAGACACAGGCAGAGGCAGGAGCAGGCTCCACGCAGGGAGCCTGATGTGGGACTTGGTCCTGGGACCCCAGGATCATGCCCTGGGCCAAAGGCACTAAACCACTGAGCCACCCAGGCATCTCTCAACTACTCCTCTTTTAAGATTTGTCTCAGGCATCATTGCCTCTGAAAGGCTTTTCTTGGCCCTCAGAACTGACCACATTCACCTGTGTACCCGAAACGCTGTATAGGAGACTGTATGGTAACTTTTGATAGTAACTTTTGTTACTATCTCTCTCACCATTCCTTTTCTTTCTTTTTTTTTTTCTTAAGATGTTATTTATTTATTTATGAGAGACACAGAAAGAGGCAGAGACACAGGCAGAGGGAGAAGCCCGCTCCCTGCAGGACCCTCGGGAGGGCTTGCTTCGGCAGTGCATATACTAAAACCAGGACCCCAGGGATCACCACCTGAGCCAAAGGCAGATGTTCAACCACTGAGCCACCCAGGTGCCCCTCCACCAATCCTTTTAAATCCTGTGTTATTCTGGGGCAGCCCGGGTGGCTCAGTGGTTTAGCGCCGCCTTCGGCCCAGGGTGTGATCCTGGAGATCCGGGATTGAGTCCCACGTCAAGCTCCCTGCATGGAGCCTGCTTCTCCCTCTGCCTGTGTCTCTGCCTCTCTGTGTGTGTGTGTGTGTGTGTGTGTGTGTGTCTATCATGAATAAATAAATAAAATATTTAAAAAAAAAAAAAGTTCAAAACATCCTGTGTTATTCTAACAAGGTGCTAGACAATGTTCATTGATGGACTGAATGTCTTCAGCTGGCCCAGTCCCCAGGATAGAGGGTAGGGTACCGTGGCACACCCTCTGCAAACTGCCACACCTTACTTCACGCATACAAACAGTCATTTAAAACTACCTGAATGCCTACAAAGTACCAGGCACTGGCCTGCATGCCAAAGAGAAGTGGATCTGCCACAAAATTAACAAGAGTCTAAGTTTCAGGGCCGCCCCTCACTTGTCCCTTCCAAAGCTCTGAACCTCTTCTTGTGATTCTAGGTTTCCTCTTCTTAAAAAGCACAGAGAGAACCGGATAAAGCTTCAAGCTTTATCAAATACTAGATCCACCCTGGGGCCGAGGATACAAAGGTGAACAAGACAAACATTCTCTCCCTTCAGTGGGGAAGACGGCCCGGCCGACCTGCGCGTTCGCTCATTCATTCAAAACACAGCCCGTGGCAGAGCTAGGGGTCGGGCACCGGCGCCGCTCGCTGCTCTCCTGAACCAAAGCCTCCTGTGTTCAGGGAATGGAAAAGCAGGTTGGAGGCCTGTAACACGCGGCGACCGAGGAAGACGGTCCGAAACCGGCCTCGGCACCTGCGGATCCCGGCAGGAGCCCCGAAACCGCGGCAGGAGGCGGGCGAGCGGAAGGGAGGGGTCAGTGAACGTCACCTTTGCTCCCGTGGAGCCAGGACCGGGGGAAGGCGGAGGGAGACCAGCCCAGGGGCCCCGCCGTCTCGGCCGTGACAGAGAAAGCAAAGGCCTGCGGGGGGAGTTTCTAGTCTGCGGTGACGGCGACCTCACTACCGCGCCAAGCAGCCCAAGGACGTGGCGGACGAGTTCCCGTTCCCCGAAACAAGGCTGTTCCTTTCCCAAGACAGCGGGCGACTCCCCGGGACCACCCCGGGCCACTGCGCCCTCCGAGCTCTGCCGCCCCGCGCTGGTGACGGGGTCCGCCGTTTCCATAGCAACCAGCTCCGCTCACCACTTCCCGCGCCCGGCTGGAGAAGTCGCCCTTGGGCCGGGGGCTCCGGCGGAACAGCTCGTCGCGGCTGCCATCGACCCCGCCGCCGCCGCCCACCGCCACTCCTAGCGCTTTGTTGCGCGTCTTCACCGTCTTGACGCTGGCCCGGAACAGCAGCGTGATATCCACCGCCATGGCGACCCACACCCCCCTCCCGGCCCCCTTCCCGGCCGGCCCACGTCAGCAGCTTGCGACCGCGGCGGCGTGCGTCCGACCGCGGGAGGACCGTTCCGGCTTCCGCACGCCCCCCCCACCCCACCCCCCCACGCCAACGCGACGCGAGAAGAAAGGTTCCGGCCTCCGCGGGGCGACCCGGGCGACAGGAGAAAGGTTCCGGCCTCAGCCTCTTTCTCCTTCCGGCAAGCCTCGGAGGGCCCGGCCTCGGGGAGGGGTCGTCCTTGCCGGGGGGGGGGGGCGTGCGGACCCGCGGAGCGGGAGGATCCGGAAGCCAGCAGGCGGCCTCCCCCCGGGGCTCCCCCCGTGACCCGGCGCCGGGAGCGGCAGTGCGGGGCGCTGGAGGTGACCCCTGACCTCAAGGACTCCCGCCGGCTGGACTGAGGCACGTGGGCGGCGCCCCCCTGGCTGCACCCAGCGCTGGGGCGCACAGGTGTGCAAGGCGGCCTGCCGCCCCCTGGGCTGCACCACCGAGGCAGCACCTTCCGCGGTGCTGTTGTGACAGGTGAAGGTAACACGTGCGGTTTTGGCGTTGCTTGGCTCCCAGGGGCCAGCGGCAGTTACAGCCGGGAATGGGAGCGCTCCTTCCGGAGGCTATTTGCGGTGGGGACGAGCGCTACCGGGGAGGTGTCCCCCCAGACGGCGGATCTGAAAGGTGAGGATGCACACCGGCGCACAAGAGTGTCCCCAGGCCCATCCTGGATGTTGGGTTCTCCTTTTTTTTTTTTTTTTTTTTAAGATTTTATTTATTTATTCATGAGAGAGACAGAAGCAGGCTCCCTGCTAGTTGCCCAGTGGGGGACTCGATCCCAGGACCCCGGGATCACAACCTGAGCCAAAGGCAGCCCCGCGACCAATGGGGCACCCAGGTGCTCCTGATGTTGGGTTCTTAGAGACCGACCCCCCCCCCCCCAAATTGTAGTAATTTAACTGCAGGTCAGCCAATGAATTCTTTTTACATTTCAACCCAAGGCTCCAATTTATAATCCACCTACTCCTTGCTTTGTTTTCCTTTTCAAAGAGGATGCGCGACGACAATGCATTAAAACAGTGCTGGTGGAAGCCGGGTAAGCAAGACAGAAATTAACTTCCAGACACCAAGATGCTCTCTGCCTTCCACTGTCCTTTTCCCACAAGTTGTACACGGTCGAGTTTTCTGGGAGCCTGAGTCTTCCGGGAGCCGAGCGACTTGTGACATTGCAAATACGCCGAATGCAGAACAGCTGTCTTCCATTAAGCCAGACTTTAAAGAGGTTTGCAAAAAAATGTAAAACGTGCCATTCGCACTAGGTTTGTTTCTGAGATTTTTTTTTCCCCCCGCCACGAGAGGATCTCATTTATGTTAATAAGTAATGGAATTCTTTTTGTTTTTTAAACGAATATTTTAGGTTTGGGTTTTAATTTCTGATATGGCGAATATCAATAGAGGAAACCCATATATACAAAGTTTGCTTAGGGTTCTCAACTATTTTTAAGAGTGTAAAGGAGTTCGGAGGCCAGTAGTATGATAAATAGATGTCATATGTACCTGAAAGGAGGAGGGAAAATGTTATTTAAAACCCAAACCGTAGTCACTTCAGCCTTCCTGTACAAGGAAAATAAGCTTTCTTACACCCACGTAGTAAGAGAAAATGAGAAAGAAATTACTACTCTCTGCCAGTGATTCTGTATTGCATAAATGGCCCTTTGTTTTATGGAGACATTAATGAATCTTTGGCTATGCAAAGGCAAGCCTGGGGCAGAGTGGAAGGAAAGAGAATTAAATCTCTCTGCATAATAAAGTGAACGGGATTGAATTAGGGGAAAGCTGGGGAAACCAGAATCCTAGAGGGAGGCCAGGAAAGGAAAAAGTAGCTGCTTGGGAAAGGTTTTCCAGTGGGAGGGGGCTGAGCTATACTAGACCTTCAGAGACCAGTAGTGCCTTGTATGAGTCTTGTGTTGGGGGCAGTTGATTTTGGGGGGTAAAAAGGTGGGGACAAAGGTCTAAGTTTTCTGTCTGCATCTGCAAGAGCAAAGAAGACTAGAGATGACACCCAAGTGAGCTCAAAACATCAGGCACTAAAACCACAAGTGACTACAAGTGCATAAAATTAGTAGAAAAGTCACAGAGATCTTGAGGAGGCTTTCAGGCTTCCCACAGACCCCGGACTATGATATTTCACTGGGGTTTTTTGGTTTTGGTGTTTGGGGGTTTTTTGCTCTTTTAACCTCAAAGAGCAAAATGACTTCAGGTTGATAATAGCTATTTAAAACCCCATAAACCTGAGAGGCACTGTGGCGAAGAAGGAGGAACAGAATGTCATGGGAATGAGCTACAAACTGTCCAGTTTGATGTAATGCATACATTATGTTTCATAGGCAATAATGTTTCATTCATTAGGCCAGGTGTTTTTCTCTTTAAAAAGCAAAAAAAAAAAAAAAAAAAAAAAAATCAAATAAGACATATTAGAGTCCCTGAATGTAGCTCCCTAGAACAGCACAGTCCATGCAATCAGGATAGATGTAGACATTTTAGAATCATTTGGGGACTCATAGAAGTCATTAAATGCAGCCTCCATCAAATAGAGGATATATTGCACATCCAAATGCTCAGCCCATGACAGACATGCTGTGTGTGAGAAAAAAAAAATCTGGTTGTTAGCCACTGAGATTTTTGTCATTGTTACATCCTCTAGAGAGGTTGGTTTTATAGCCCCACTAAGTGAGGAAAGATGGTAAGTAGGCATTTGTTGTATGGAGCATGAATTCTTGCAGGACAGTGTAGGGAGACCAGAGTTTTTGGGTCCATGGGATCATGGACCTGCCACAATAATATAGTAACTGAAGACCCTCTGTGGAAGTTTGTTTTATTATTTGTCTCATATTCATGGCCCCTCTCTAGGAAAGGATAATAGTTCCTTGACCTATTGATGACTATTTTGGCCAGGTAATTCTTCCCCATGAAAAGTGACATGTTACAAATTTAGGAGATAACGTGTGGTTCACTGTGCTCCCTTCCCTGTGCCATGACAATCCATAGTGTTCCAGTGTTTCATGAGGCTAGGTCCCTGAGTAAAGATGACGTGGAGCACAGCCAATCAAGGATGTATGCTGGCATTAAGTCAGCCTTTGTTCTTACTGTCTATGGAGATTTGTGGCTTGTTGTTACTGTAGCAAATTAGCCTATTCTGATTGATACAACCCATCTCCAGATATCTGCCCAAACAAGTCTACTGAATGCATTTTCTTCACTTACCTTCATTACAATGTTGTCTCCCAGTGGGTAAAGTGTGGAGAGGAAGGACTATTAGTTCACATCTAGGTCTAATCAAAAGGGTTAGAGTAACAGAGGCCCTGGAGGATAGACCCAGCCATGGTTCTCCTGAAAGAGGAGAGGACTTGGAGAACATATATTCAAATTAGGAAGTGAACTTTAAAAGAAATTTTTTTTCTTTATTTATTTATGATAGTCACACAGAGAGAGAGAGAGAGGCAGAGACACAGGCAGAGAGAGAAGCAGGCTCCCTGCACCGGGAGCCCGACGTGGGATTCGATCCCGGGTCTCCAGGATCGCGCCTTGGGCCAAAGGCAGGCACCAAACTGCTGCGCCACCCAGGGATCCCTAAAAGAAATTTCTTGAAAAAAAATTTTTCTCATAGGCTTTAGAAAGGACCATGACTGTAAGGATGGGAAGCTCAAAGAATAAACTTTTGTTCTTAAGAAGGAATGTATCTAAAAAAAAAAAAAATCAGGGTGATGGAGAAGATGGAACCCTTGTATGGTGCTGTTGGGAATGTAAATTGGTGGAACCACTATGGAAAACAGTATGGAGGTTCCTCAAAAAATTAAAAATAGAACTACCAAAAATAAAAAAAATAAAATAATAATAATAATAAAAATAGAACTACCATAAAGGAGCTTGGGTGGCTCAGTCGCTTAACATCCAACTCTTGGTTTTGGCTCAGGTCATGATCTCAGGGTCTTGGGATCAAGTCCAGCGTCAGGCTCTGCTCTCAGCATGGAGTCTCTTGAAGATTATCTCCCTTACCCTCTCTCTCTGCTCCATCTCCTGCTCACTCACTCTCTTTCTAAAATAAATAAAATCTCAGAAAGGGGGAGGCCAGCACCTGGATGGCACAGTCTGTTACGTGTCGGGTACCCTGCTCAGCGGGGAGTCTGCTTCTCCCTCTTCCTCTGCGCAACCCACTGCCCCACGCATGATCTCATTATCTCTTTCTCTCAAATAATTAAATAAAATCTTAAAAAAAAAACAAAAAGAACTACCATATAATCCAGCAGTCCCATTTCTGGGTATATATCCAAAAGAATTGAAATCAGGAGCTCAAAGAGAGAGCTGTACTTCCATATTCATAGCAGCATTATTTACAAGTAGCCCAGACTTGGAAGCAACCTAAATGGCCATTGACAAATGAATGGATTAAAAATTGTAGTATATATGTATAGTGGAATATTATTCATCCTTAAACAAGAAGGACAACCTGCAATATGCAAGAACGTGGATGAATCTGGAGGACATCATACTGTGTGAAATGAGCCATTTGCAGGACAAATACTGCATGATTCGACTTATATGAAGTATCTAAAATAGTCAAAAAGGAGAGAGTAGAATAATGGTTGCCAAGGGCAAGGAAGTTGGGAGTGAGGAGTTGCTGGCTGATGGATATAAAGTTTCAGTTAAGCAAAATGAATGTACAAAATTGTGCCTAAGGCTAACAATACTGTGTTTACACTTAAGAATCTGTTAAGAGGATAAATCTCATGCTAAGTCTTCTTACCACAATAAAATGAACATTTTTTTCTTCCAGAAGTTCTCTGTCATGAGCATGCTATTAAGGCACACACACGAGTTATGTCTTTCTACAATGCCAGCTTTATTTCATCATAAAGCAGTTCAGGATTCCAAACTCAGTGGCATTTCACCATGTGTTTCGCTTGGCTTCTTAAACGTCACACAACATACAAGATAGAACAGGGGTAGGAAGTTAGACCGTAAGCGTGCCGTAGAATGAGGCCTCCGTCT